GGGGTAGAGGGGGCGGAGGCTATCATGTTTAAACACGTTTATTCTGTCATTGCTGCTATGCCCTCTGCAGCAGCAAAGGTGTCGACCTGCGCGCTACACAGCAAAGCACGACAAAGCGCCAACCAAAGCCTGCAGGCTGACACCTGCGACGACCGGGCCCGCTTTGGTTGGTCCCGCTCCGTGGCCCCCCTCAGGTACATGCAGAGCGGCGCGGCGGCTGCCCTGTGAGGCCGAGGCATGCGGAAGTGCACTTCAACGCCACCACGCTGCTGCTGCCTCGGCTGCTGCCTGCTCCCGGACAACCGCCTCTTCTTCTACGAAGTGTAGTGATCGGCACCGACTATTGTCTGAGGTGTGAAATAAATGCCACCCCCCCCTTCTTCTTCCCTCCCCCGCTTTCCCACCTTTACGAGGTGTTGACAGGGCCGGGCAGGGCAGGCCCAGGTATAGCCAGGCGCTCCCTGGCCGCACGCCGTGCCCGGCTCGGCCCTACCGCGCCCCGCCCCGCCGTGTCCTTCCGGTCAGCGGGCGCCAAGCTTCGATCGAACCTACTGCACAGAAGGAAGGAAAGCGCATTAGAATATTCGTAAAGTACGAATGTGCAAGGCGGTCATCGATCAGAAATTAAGTATAGGGCAGTGAGTGTACTGATTGAGCCATTATTATTATTTTGTTTCAGTAATACAGTTACCATCTCCTGTAGCTTGCAATCAACGAGAAGTTGCAATCAACAGATATTCACATCTTTAATCAGTAACCGACAAAACTTCAGTGAGAGTTGGGAAAACTGTATTTGTCACCTCTGGGCGTCCCGGACAATGACGTTGTGGTAGAATGGCTTCCAATGGCCTTTTTCAATGAAGTTTGAGAAATGGGCCTTGGAATGACGACTCGGAGGACACCTCATCGACTAAACCCATGAATGAATGACCAGGTGAGTCAGGGAAGAGAGGGGAGGGAGGGGCGGGGGCGACGACGGGGGGTTGCAGAGACCACCCCTCGTGGGTTGGCGATTCGCATGGTGAATCAGTCAAGTGAGGGAACCAATGCGCCACCATGAAATATTTCGAATGAATGGTTCTCCAGTAGGACTACCATCACGCGGTGGTACACAGAAAACAAAGGCAGAACTCTGGAATGACCTGCTTAAGGCACACAAAAATATTATATTTTAATTTTGACACTTTTGACATCATTTTCACAAAGAAAATTATGTTTATGGACAAAGCATGATAATGGGTCGTGAATACAAATTTCTGTTGTATTGGAAACAGGCCCTGTTTGTGTTTTATCCTCCGTGACAGCCGTATCAATATTAATCGTGTTGTTAAATCAGATTAAACTTTTGGCATATTACTCCAAGTAATGCGCGTTAGAAATGTACAGTGTACACTACACCGCACACAGGGTGTGCCATTCAAGGCGTGACACTTGCGCTAATATCTTAAAAACAAAGTGCCAGCCGAGGGGTGAACAACTCAGCTGAGACGCGGACAGAGGAATATATTACAAGGTAATATATGTAATACAGGTTATACTGGTAATATCAATGTATTATAGTATTACAAGGTATTACAAGTATTACAAGGTAATACAAGGTAATACAAAGTAATACTTCATGTTATAACAGGTATTAC